GGGTGCACGGTGGTTGCTGTTGACGGTAGTACCGGCTGAACTCCGCCATCGGCTTGTCATTTCTTACCCCTCCAGCCCCTTTTTGTCGAAGTGGAAACGTCCGATGAGTGCTCTGTGTGTGAGGACTGTTTCGTGTCCGATGTGTCAGATGAGCGNCTGGGAGACTCCACAAGGGTGCACGGTGGTTGCTGTTGACGGTAGTACCGGCTGAACTCCGCCATCGGCTTGTCATTTCTTACCCCTCCAGCCCCTTTTTGTCGAAGTGGAAGCGTCCGACGAGTGCTCTGTGTGTGAGGACTGTTTCGTGTCCGATGTGTCAGATGAGCGGCGGGCGCGTCCTAAGGGGTGATTTCGGTGTGGGTTGCGTCCTGTAGGGCGTCTATACGAGGTCATGCGCTTTTTCCACCGACCCCAAAGGGTGGGATCTTTTTCCATACAGAACTTGATGTCATTGTTAAGCAGGCCGGTGGCGTTCACGAAACCACGATTACAGCATTTGAAGGAGTGGTCTTCTCCCAAGCAGTTGAGGCACTTGCCCTTGTACAGTCGAAGCGCGTTGCGGCGCTCTTCAGCCGAGACCAAGGGGGTGAACAATGGCGGATCATTCTTGGTTAGAGCCATCTCACTAGCGAAGTTGTACACCTCTTGGAAGTGTCCTTGCAACGGCCGGACGCTGTAGTGCAACAGAAAAGGGTCCCGATCATCATTAGGTAGAGGGTCAACACTCATCACGGCGGCCGAAAAACCTTGGCTCCACGAAGGAGTCACCGTCGAACGCAACGCCGAAGCAGCTGCAGCACGCGAAACAGCAGACGAACTCCTAGCATTGGTGGAAGATACCGAAAAGAAATCATCTCCATGCACCGCCGGCGTGTGCGGGAACGCACGCTTGTCCAACACATCCCACATATCATCCAGACACGAAGCATGTCGCCCAAAAGGGGCTTCCATGGAGAGCTGCTCATCCTTGTACACCTGCCCAGACACTACCGGAAACTGCTTCAACATGGAGTCTCGAACAGCTATCTGCACTTGCGCATCCGAAGGCTTGAACGCGTGGTGGGAAACCATGACGGTCATGGCCAGAGCCTTATAGCGACGAATGTATTCTCCGTAAGTCTCGCCGTTGGATACGCCAAAACTGCGAAGACGATCGATCCCCGAGCTCGTGTCTGGAGTGTCCCAGGCAGCCGCCAATTTCTGGATGAAGAAGGCGTACGTCGAGGGCCCTGCCGGTTCCTTGCGCAGATGGTTTTCTACCTGTAGGAAGGTGGCATCAAGAAATTCCAGCGTGGCACGGGTGGTGGTTTGGCCTTGAACGACAGCAGCACGGACACGTTTGCACAACAACGGAAGCCATCCGGTGACCCAGGTGGAGGAATTGAAAGTCTGCTTGCGCTTGACGTCGCTTTTGTTGAGGATCTCTGTGACCACACCCTTGCAGCTTGACACGAAGCGAGCAAATTCATCAGGATCAGGACCGAGGGGCAGGCGTGTGACACTATCAAGTTGTTCCGGCTTCAGCTTGTCCATCTTGTCTTGAATGCG